GAAGCCAATATCAAGAAGACCACATCTATTTATAAAATCAAGAAAATTCCTTGTTTGACTAATAGAAATCGTGGAGCCTTGATATTTTTCCTTATTGTTAATGATTGCATTGAGGTCCCCAATAAGAGCCCCAAGAACTGAACTCTACTCATGGTAATCAATAATAGAATCCCACATTGGCAGCTACTAAAATCTTATTTGAATTATGCGCCTGAGAGGAAGGTGGTAACTTGCCTGTTATAGTGGAGTTTCCACCCGAAACGTCAGGTGTAACTCCACTAATCAAGGTTGTCTTGCTGGAAGTAACTAAACCATCGGGTTCATCCTGCTATCGTTGGAGTTCCGGTGAGTGGGGTAGTTCTTCTTGATCTCTAGTGTCTTAGCTTGCGGAAAAGTGTCGGGTCGAGGGTGGGTCGTTGGAAGAACATGTAGATCCATGGTAATCTTGTCTAGCATCAAGGCCAAAAGTCTATCGATGCCTAGTTTCTTGGTCGGTGCATTCATCTATCTAAACCAAAAGTTTATGTCTCACCTTACATCCTTGTGATTCATGTCCCAATCTAGCACAAAAGGTGCAAAATCTTGGGAGTCTTTTGTTGGTTGGGCTCCCTTCCCACGTGGAGGGCCCACAAAAAAAAGAGAGAGAGGCGGGGGAGTTAGAAGTCAAAGAGACTCATAAAGGTAGCCTCTTCGACTTCGCATGCGAGAGAAGTTGAGGAGCGTTAAAAGAAAAAAAAAACTTCTGCGAACTGAACTGTTCGGTGAAGCCTACCACTGAAAACAGAAGAGAGAGAGAGAGAGAAAGAGAGAGAGGGGGGAAAGAAGAAGAAAAGCTTTGAGTTCTCATGGGTGAAGAATACAAACTTGTGCAATGATCCTTTCTCCAATCGTCTTGGGATTTCAGTATGTAGTCAATGGCGCCTCAAGCTGCATATCTACTGGTTTGATTTGCTATTTCTCTTCTCTATTATCATTTTGGTGAGATTTATTTTTGTCTCTGATTTATTTGGTAATATGTGATGAAATCCACCCTTCTTGGGTGAGTAGTTGATGTTGACATCCTCTAGTTTCACTACTAGAGAAGAACTTTGTTGTATCCCATTAAATTTATTAGTGGAAGTTTTAAGTGGCTAGTTGTCCGTGGTTTTTCCCTTCGTTTTGGAGGGTTTTCCACGTTAAAATTTTGTGTCTTTATTTGTGAATTGTGCTCTTGTTATTGCATACTTATTTTCTATTTGGTTGATATTGTTTGGCTTGCATGCTCATTTAATTGCACAAAGAGGGAATGAGAATTACTTTGCTTCAGTTCAGGTTATGTGTTATTTAGCTATTGTGAGATAGCAGGCTTATTCCCAACATCTTTCATACTAGACTCTGATTTGAATAGTTCTACCATTAAGAAGCTTATAAGGAACTTCTTGCGCCAGAGGAGTCGTGCAATCCAAGGAGACACGCATCCTTGCGTATTCACTCCATTTCCTAACAAGGTGGGGTGCAGGTTCAAAAGGTTTATCGATCTCCATTGCAATCATCATAACAACCTTAACATTCAAATATTCAACTGGCGACCCATAAAGATGAATCCAAAAGTCGGCTTTTTTCGAGAGAATAATTAGAGGGACTGGTATCCCTTGCACCTTTCTGTAGTAATTAAGATGAGATCATTATCAAAAGGCCAAGGTCCCTTATCAAATATCTGATCACGTTCGAAGTTGCTAGGAAAGTTAGCCCTAAAAGTGTTAGAAGAGAAATCAGAGATTTCAGATACGTCAATCTTCCAAGACTGTGCTACCATTTCCTTTAAACCAATAGGTTTGGATGGTCTATCAGTAAGAACTTTAAACACTAGCATTCTTCTCCATGACTCACTAGAGAGCACATCATCTAAAGAAGCTTCAATCAGGGACGGTGATTTAGGAATTAATATACGGGAGAGATCTCTTAGAAGGTTAGTGTCCTCCATGGAAGAAGATGAAAGGAGGAGGGGAAGGAAAGGGGTGGCACTAGGGTGGAGGCAGAGGAAAGAAGATGGGGTTCACAAAACCCTACTTAGGGTAGGAGAAAGGCCTGCATACTGCAGGAGAAAACTGAATACCAAGAAGGCAAATGCTACAAGAGTTTACTTTTTATTCACTAGGCCCCAAATAGCTATGGCCAGCATGTGTATTAAGGCTTGAATTTTAACTTGATTTCATGTCCATCTATGGAGTGCTCAAACTCCTTCATTATCTAATGTTGGTCATAGCTATTTGGGGCCTAGTGAAAAGTGAACTAAATATAAAATCTAAAGTTTGTTTGATGGTTTGTCTTTTAGGCTACATTTGGTAAGATCATAAATATAAATTAGTAAAATTCATAAAAATATAAAGCTGGTTTAGTTTTACATTGATAAATTTTATATTCTTATCAAATGGTTTTGGTTGTAACCAATACAAACATGAATTCCAAGACTGGAATCCATTTTTTTTTTTATATATTGAGCAACTTTGAATACAAAGTTTACATTCATTTCGAATGAAAACATATCTTAAAATTCATAATTACTGTCATTTTCAGTACATAAATGTATTCTTATACCAAATACTTGCAAAACTAAACCAAAGTACAAATTTAGTTGTGCTTGTGCATTTTCACTCTTACCAAATGCAGCCTTATGCTCAAAATAGCTGCTCTGATGGGAACATGTGTTCTCATTCTTGTTAGCCTGATGCTTTATTGTTTACACCAAGCAGTATAAAAATAGATATCTATGGATTTCTATTTCTTGTCCAGGAAAAGATATATTATTATCTCCATCATTAATGTGTAAAAGTCTTGACATTAACAGATGAAAAATAAAGTGGTAGTTGGGACTTTCCATCCCACATCTACTTAATAAATGTCATAAAGAAGATGGTTGTGTGTGTAGCTAAGAAATGACAAAGCTTGATTTGACAATGAAAATGTAACTATTTATTCCTTACGGGTTTATCCCACATAGCTCTGTGGTTTAGGTGCACGTTAACATGTCCAATTCCTCACATTAAAGATTAAACAATAACTCCAGTTTCTCATCATCTCATTCCTTTTTGTGTGTGGAATAAACAAATTTTGACCTTTTCTAACTATCATCCTTTTAATTGTGACTTGTTCCACCTTTGCATTGTATATAGGAATCAAGCATGGGTGTCTTGTTTTTCACGTGGACAGAACTCTTGGTCAAATTTCAAATTGGTATGTCATCAATCATCATGATGCTTGGTTTTTAAAACCTGGACCCACATATCTTCTTCTCCTAAAGGGATTTTTTATTGTGATCAGCATGGCCAAATTCATCTCCCTGTACCAAGTCTAAAGCCCTCGTCACTTTTTTTTTGGGCTTACAACTAGGGCTGTTAAATGAGTCCAATAGTCCAAAGCCCATGAGGGGTATTCTATCCAATAGGGATGGCAAATGGGGATGGGTTGGGTGTGGGTTGAGTATCAACCAACCCATATTGATCCAATAACCCATTTGCCACCCATGTCACAACCCACACAAAAGATGGTAAACAATATATATTTCATGCAGAACAACAAAAATTGCAGAAATTTGCAGGAAAATCAGAAAATACAAAAAATAAAATAAAATTTTTTGAAAATATGCAAAAATTAAAGAAAAGTATAAAATTGAAGAAAATAGAAATTGCAGAAAAACAAAAAAATAATTACAAAACACTTGAAATTATAGAAGAACACTGAAATGAAAAAAAATAGGAAAATATAAAAATTACTGAAATTTGAAGAAAATGCAGAAACTTGTATATGTCAAAAAAACAGAAATTGATAGAAAAATTAATATATATATATATTTAAATAAACAAAAACAGAAGCAAAAATTGTAGAAAATATATTTTTCAGAAAAACAAGAGATTACAGAAAAGTTACATAAAATGATGCAAATTATATATTTAAAAAAAATTGGATAAACAGAAAATGTGATAAAAATCATCATAAACAATAAAACTCCTGCCTCATCTAGGAGTTTCATTCATGCATACCAAACAAATGCACCCTTAGGGAAGAAGACAAGATGATGAATAAGTTTAGGGCTTTAAAGAAAAAGGTAAAAGGAAAAAGGAAAAAAGAAAACTTTGGAATAATCAATGACCTTCAGCATTACAACATTCTAGTGTTTCCCTCAACTTTCTTATTTTCTATCAAGCCAACCACAGATTTAATGAAACCATCATTCCAAGAGCTTTATGTGGATTCATATGAAACACCGCTCCATCTCTATAGCTACTCCGAAGTTCAAACCCTCCTTGATTACCACAATCTAACCTAGTTGAGTGTAGACATGGTTAGATTTGAAGGCCCACGTCCATTAAGAGAGACACTAGTAGATCAGCCCCTGGACCCCCCACGGATATAGAGGTCCTATATGGTTAATTGGTTATTACGGTTTAAAGTGCTCAAACCCGAAAGGGAAAGGCCCATCCGTGTTAACTGTGAACTCAATATGGGCCAGTCATTAGGCCCAATATTGGGTCGGGTGGGGCCTGGGGTGAAACCGAAATCCCACTTTTTTCTTTTCCACTTTGCTTCAGGTGGAAGCATTTCATTTTGAATTTCGGAAATGGCAACAAAACTGGAATTGCGAAATGACATGAATTCTCAGATGAAGTGGAATCCGAAATGATATTGGAGGTAGAAATGAAATTCAACTCCAAATCTACTCCAGTAATCCAAATGGAGGAATCAAATGCCGTAGATTTTACGGACCAAGGTCCCACCAAACTTTCCACTGTATACTCTCACTTCTCTAGATCCTGACGTGACATCCACACAGTACGTCCAGCTCATTACTCGTACTCCGAGTCCTAAGCCACGTAACTGGTACTACCATTGAAATAATGGATCATGGATGATAATTTATTTTAAAAAAATATCTTAGCATATACCAACACCGGTGCAAGTCAGTGAGGGTACTATTCTAATCCAACGGCTGATTTATTCTTGAAAAAACTAAATTTCGACACCATTCATTTCAAAAGAAGAGGAGAAAACGGTCGTCAGAGAGTGAGAGAGACCTTCTCAGTTCCCTCCACCGGGCACCGACTACTGTAAATAAACTGACTCTGTGAGTCCTTCTTTACTCGGTAATCTACGCATCATTCTTCGTTCAAAATTTAAACCCATCTGGGCTAGGCATCTCTTTCAAACCAGATCGATTCTGGTTTTCTCCATGGAAGGACTAGACCCTGTGGCCTTGTTCATGAATCTTGAACAGTGGCGAGAACCCCAAATGGAAGATGAAGCAGAAGTTCAAGATTCTCCCTCTCCCTCTGTTGCTTCTTCAAGCTATGAGACTTACATGGTGGGTTTTGTGATCGCCAACATCGTCGGTCTTCAGTACTACACCGGTAGGATCAGCGGACGGGAGATGGTAGGTCTGGTTCGAGAACCCCTCAACCCTTACGACTCCAACGCTATTAAGGTGCTCAATACCCGAACAATCCAGGTCGGACACATTGATCGATCCTCGGCTGGTGTTCTTTCTCCTCTCCTTGACGCCCAACTCATCGCCGTTGAGGGCATCGTACCCAACATTCCCGGGAGCAAAAACCGGTACAAACTCCCTTGCCAAATCCACATCTTTGCTCGCGTTGAAAACTTTCAGCTTGTTCGGGACAGCATTTCGCGTGGTGGGTTGCAGCTAATTTCTGATCCGAGTCCTTCTTTTGCACTGTCGGAGGCTGTAATTGTTAAAGAAAAGAAAACTAAGAAGGAGAAACGGGATATTGACGAGATTTTTAAGTTGGTGGATGCTGGTGAGAACAGGAAGGGAAAAATGGAAATGTTGGAGCCGCCCAAGGAGATTATCACAGCCAAGTTGCTCTTGCATCAGAAGGAAGGGTTGTGGTGGTTGGTTCAAAGGGAGAATTCTCTCGAGTTGCCGCCGTTTTGGGAAGAGAAAGGTGGAGACTATGTCAATGTCTTGACAAATTATCGGACCGATAAGCGACCAGAGCCGCTGAATGGGGGGATTTTTGCTGACGAGATGGGATTGGGTAAGACCCTAACATTACTCTCTCTAATTGCTACTAATAGACCGGATGCTAACCTAGCTTCTTCAGTTGATACTGCTACTGGAGATATAGACAACTCAGAAGAAGACGAGGACAGATTGTCTGTTGTTAAGAAGTCTAAGAAAGGGAAATCGGGTAAGAAAGCTACAGTTTCACGTAAGAAGCGTAAATTAAATAGTTCTGATTTGGGTAACAAAGGGAACGGAACACCAAAGGGTGGACAGGATAGATTTTCTACTGTTTTTGGCCCAAGAACAACATTAGTTGTCTGTCCTCCATCAGTATTTTCAACGTGGGCAACACAGCTACAAGAGCATACTAGACCTGGAAGCTTGAAAGTATACATGTATTATGGGGAGCGTACTAGAGATCCTGAAGAGCTTCAGAAGTATGATATTGTTTTGACAACTTATAGTACACTGGCTACTGAAGCCCATGATTATCATTCACCAATGACATTGATAGAATGGTGGAGAGTTATTTTGGATGAAGCGCACTTAATAAAAAATGTGGCGGCCCGACAGAGTCAAGCTGTCATAGAACTCAAGGCTAAGAGGAGATGGGTTGTTACAGGGACACCCATTCAGAATGGATCATTTGATTTGTACTCTCTCATGTCTTTCTTAAGGTTTGAACCATTTTCAATCAAGAGCTATTGGCAGAGCTTAGTGCAACGTCCTCTTGATCAGGGGAATGAGTGTGGCCTCTTGCGTTTGCAGGTAAGATCATGTACCATGAGCATCCTATACTGTCAGAATTTCTTTAGACAAAGCTTAAGTGCATTGTCAAAATTTGAGTTACACCATGCTATTAGTGCATCATTAAACTAAATAAAAAAAAGACTAATAGGTAAAGAATGAAAGAAATTTGTAACTTTCTTGTATTCATTCTTTGTAATACTCTTATGAACTCACTTTTATTCGTTAAAAAATATTGATAATAAGAAAAGACTGTGTTTTAGTAATTTTCTGTCACTTATAAGGATCCCTGTTCACTTAATAGTAAATGCTTTCATTGGATAATATTAGTTTTGAAACTAATTGTAAGAAAGCTCACTGTATCTGTTGGTAGAAGAGGTTTACATTTAATCACTTCGTAGACATTATATGTGTGGTGGATGTTGATTTATGTGAACAAAATTAGTTTGAAGTGGGTTACCAATCCACCTTCTATACCCAGAATTTCCATTTTCTTGGTTCATATCATTGGATTCAATTTAACCTCCTTTATTGGTACATTCTTCCTTTTGATCATCTTCAGGGTTTCTATCTTGCTTCTTTTTTATCACTAGCATTGTGAGCATTTGCTTCAGAAGTTATGCAGAGTTCACAATCTTTAGCCATGACGGCTCTTTCTCAGCTATCATGCATTGGACTTCATTTGTGTATCTTTTATTTGCGTATAGATTATAGAATAACTTGGTTAAAGTGAACTTACCTTTATGAAATCTTTGACATCCTGCTTTAATCCAAGTCATGGACAAAAAGGCTGTGCTTTGTAGGAAAATGGTGCAGGAAAAGGAACGCCAGTGGTAATGAGATTTATTTCTTAACACTATTAGCCATAAATGACATTGTAAACATAAATGATGATTTTTTTCTTTGGAAAGTAAAGCCTCTTACAAGATTCAGATGATTTTTTTTTTTCTTTCCCTGGTTTTCTTTTTACAAGAAATAGACAAATAGCAAAGGTGGACATTAAAACAAAGCTTAAGAACTGTTAGGCTTTCTTACTGATGGAATATAAAGGAGACCTTTCTATTAATGTTTGCATTAGCTTTTTTCATCAGTAACATAACCTTTATTAACTTAATGGATAGTAAAGTCTCCTATGACTTTTGAGTCAATATGCAATTGTAACCGAGCAAGTGTCATTCCTCTGACTGAACTCTGTAAGGGATCTACTATCACATTTTGTTTCCATTTTCATTTCAGCATGTGTTATTGTAAACCTGAGTCATAGTTTCATAAAAATCACTATTACATAATTTGAGGTTTCTCCCCAGAACAGTTAATGCATTAACTCATTAGAAAGCTGGTGTATAATAAGCTTAAGTATGAATGCATCTTTTGAGTTGTAATAGGAAAATTCAATATGTTGCAGAATTTGGAGGAGTTAGGTCTTCAACTAGAAATTTCTTTCCAGCTTTAAGCTAGAAAGAAAGTGTAATGTATAGAGGAAAGAAGACAAACAAATTTCTGATGGTAAAGAGATACGTGAATATTAGGGTTGCTGCTATGTTAATAGATTAAGAGAATAATAATAAGATACAAAACAATGAGAAGAGAGAGGAGAAAGAGAGGGAGAAGAGTTGCAACAAAGAGAGTTGAGAATAGGGTTGGATGCTTTAGAGATTGCCCCACCCTTTATTTATTCTTAGTTGTTTAAACTAACTAAAATTTCAAAAATACCCTTCTCTACAAACATTAGTGAAAAGCAAAAGCTAAATTTCAAAAATACACTCCTCAAGTGGAACATAGATATCTATCTTGCTCAACTTGCTCAGTACAATATCAAGCTTCTTTTTTATGAGCCCCTTAGTAAAAAATTGGCTAATTGTTCTATTGTCTTGACATATGGTGAGTAGATCTCATTTCTTTCAAAACCTTCTCAATCACTGATTTTCTAAGGGCCTGGACCGAAATAGTGCTGTCATCAAGAGTAAAAGACAGAGTTAGGTTGGAATGGAATCCCCCGGAAGGCAACAAAGTTAAGGTGAATTTTGATGGGAGCTCCTTTGGAAACCCGAGTATGGCTGGAATAGGAGGGGTAATCAGAATTTCCAAGAGGAAGATCTTGGCCATGTTTTCAGGGCCAATCGGTTTGGAAAACTCTTTGAAGGCTGAACTGTTGGCTCTACTGCAAGGTATCAGGCTACCAAAAAACCTGGGATTTGGGATGGTTAGGGTGGAAGGAGATTCACAAGTAGTTATTTCATGGGAAAAATCCAACAGGCATATTCCTTGGACCCTTCAGTGAATGCTAAGAGAAGTGGAAAAGATTGCAAACTAAATAGAGGCTGAATTTAAGTGGGTTAGAAGGAGTGCAAGTGGGTTAGCTGACTCCCTTGCCAAACAAGGGGTTATGAGGCTGCAATTGTTTTGGGCATCCATGTAATATGGGTTTGTAAGTAGGGAATAACGCTCCTGTCTTCAAGTTGTATTAATCACTCCTATATTCCACTTTAATAAAATAAAATTTATTCTCTGCTGATAAAAAAAGTAGATCCAATTTCTGTCTACACTTTTATGAGATGTCTATCATCTTTCACATGTTTAGTCCAATCATGCTGAACAGTATTGTGGGGTCATGCCAATCCCTAAGGCATCCAGTCCTATTCTCAACTCTCCTTTTCAATACTGACAACTACTCTTAAGGAATAAACACTGAGCCCTTTGATCCTACTATGGCTCTGATACCATATTAGGATTGCTGCTAAATAGGTTAAGAGAATAATATAGAAAACAATGAGGAGAAGAGAAAGAGATGGAGAAGAGTTGGAACAAAGACGAAGAGAGTTGAGAGGATTGGATGCCTTGGGGATTGATCCATCCTTTGTTTATGCTTATGTGTTTAAAATAGCAAAAATTACAAAAATACCCTTCTCTAGAAACATTAAAAAAAGTTTAAGTTTTCCTACAGTGAGCAAAGGACTCACTGGAAACATCAATCTGAGGGTACAATTGGTGAGGAGATAGGCAAATGGGATGGCGGATGCCTTAACTAAGGGGTGAGTATTAACCAATTGTATTGGGCTCAAATGTGTTTTCTGGTTGAGAGGTAGCATTATTGCTTCTCTGAGGGTTGATTGTAATGTTTGTATTGCTTTCAAGTCTTTGATTAATAAAATTTGAGGTTACTTATCATAAAAAAAATACAGTGAGCAAAGGAATCATAGTATCAAATAGGATGACTAGCATAGGTATGCTTACCTTTGTGAAGAGAAATGGGAAGATCTAAGTTAGATAGATTTGGGGACGGTGAGGATGATGGAGTTGCAGAAGCAAGAGCTAGAACACCTGCCTCTTGCTTGGAGTACACTTTATGAATTGTTGGCCATGTAGGCTCCACAAGAACATTGACAGATTCAACCAGATTAGGAAGATGAATAGCATCCAAGATTTCAGAACATGATTCTTTCTCAGAAAAGAAGGATAGGGTCTAAAAAGGGTAACATCTAGGAACACAAACAACTTATGAAGTGTAGGGATGTAACACTTATAGTCCTTTTGAGTACAAGAGTAACTAAGAAAAATACACTTTACAACCCCAGCATCAAGTTTATCTAGACCTGGACCAAACTTATGCACAAATCATACATAATGAAACACTTGGGGAGGAAGACTAAAAGGAGAAAGGGAAGGAAATAAGATAGAGAAGGGAGATTTCCCACCAAGAGTAGACGATGGTATGTGATTTATTGGAAAACAAGAAGTAAGAACAGCATCACTCTAATAAATTTTGAAGATTTCCCACCAAGTAACTGCATCTTGATAACCTCAAATTTTGGATCCAATTGCTTAGAAATTCAAACACTCTGTCCTAATTCTTCAGTGTCGAATACTGTTCTACATCCTTTGAATCCCTCCAATGGATTATTCTAAAATAATCCAATTCTTCCCATGATGCTTGTAAAGTAGCGTAATATGTAGGCACACTCATCTTCCCCTTGTCAAAGATTGGATATATCCTGCATAAGATGGAAACTTTCTGCCCTGAGCCTCATTCTTCTCCTAAGAATATATTTTATTCACCCTTTCCCAAATTTGGGCCCCTGTCTCCAAAAACATTAATCTACAACTAATTTGGGGTCATTGAATTCCATGACCATGACATAATAATCATGTTTTCCTGCTTTGCATCTTCTGATTAGGATTATTGTCATCTAGTCTCTTAGTTTTCCCAGTTGGATATTCAAGTTTTGCTCGTCCACCAATATAGGCTTTCACAGACAGAGACCACTCAAGATAAGCGTGTAAATAAAGGTAGATCTTGATGTAGAAGACTCTTGGGCCATCTTTGATCAATACCCGTACTTTTCAGACCAAGGAGATCAAGGCCATGCCACCAAACATATAAAACAGACCTCTAACAAAAACTTTCTGACATGGGCAGTAATGTATCAATATAATTAAAATTCAAAATATTCATATCATCCCCCAAAAAATCTGAAATAGGTCTTGATAACTAGAGCAAAGGAGGTGATCTAAATTGCATTGATTCCCTTCATCAAACATCAGTCTATGGTTCTCCATCATCAAGAAACCCTGAGTCATAGTTGTCAAGGTGATGCCTAGGTGACAAGGTGCCCTTGGAGGCTTGCCTTGCCTAATCACCAAGAAGTTTTGTACATTGTGTAATAAAATACTTATATTAATTTTTTGAGATTATCATTATAAAATAGACATTATTAAACTAAATCAAATTCTCATTGCCAATGACTGTATTGAATATAGAAAGAGGAAAAAGGGAAGGGGGTTGGTTTGTAAGTTAGACTTAGAAAAGGCTTATGACATGGTGGATTGGGACTTTTTGCTAGAAATTCTCAATCATATGGGCTTTGGAGAAAGGTGGTGTAAATGGATGAAGGGTTGTATCTCCTCGTGTCACTTCTCCATGGGTAGATTAACTTTGATCAAATCCACGTTAGCCAATTTACTGGTGTACTTTCTGTCAACCTTCAAAATACCAATAAAAGTGGCTGTTAGAGTTAGCCGAA